TATATTCAATTATTTTAAGGGGGAGAAGCGGGTCAACCAAATTGGATTAATTGATGGCAGTTTCAAAATGCATCACCATCAAGATCGTACTTTTCTCAATTGGGATTGTCCAAGCCCTCATAGCTTACGACTGCAAGGGGAACAATCTCAACATTACTACGTTGTCACTATTAAAAATAGGAGAATGCGACATTCCTCCCGTCCAACCAAAAATCCAAAATGTCGATATACAACTCTTACAATTGACCGACTTTACTACGACTGAAGTAATACAATGCAAGATAGTAATAGATCGCGATGTGTTACATTGTGGTATGCATTCTCACATTTCTGCAGTCGCCTTAGGGAAAATGCAATATCTACACGAAATTTCACGTGAAGAATGTCATAAAATACATCGAACAAGAGCTTACCACATTTCTTCAAATAATTACATCACAGGATTGTCTTTAAATGGAACATCAACGCGTCCAATAATTTTTGCCGGTACAATCAAAACAGATGGATCTTGCCAGGGTATTCAATATTCCGATCCTTATGGATCATGGTCTGATGTCGTAGTTCAAGGCACAGTTAAAATATCACTATACAATTTCTATGCTATCGTGAAATTAAATGCTAATACCATTAGCATGCCTTCTGGTAAAACATGCACGCTCACAGCTGCAGCTTGTCCAGATGATGAAATGGGAAATTCGTTTTGGACCCCTATACCAAACGACGATTGTCACTATAAACGCTATACAGTACTTTTTGAAGGTAGAGCAACACTTCTCCAAAATAATTCTACTACTGTCAGCCGATACAACAAGGAAATCTACACATTGAATCAAGAGGACTTCACCTTTGCATTGGCAAAAAGAGGGGAACGTAAGATCTGTGGTTACACCTTGATTGAAACTGAACATCCAAAGCTTTTCATAGTGGACAGTCGAGCAGATGGAACATTTGCAAAGAAGACATCAATCGATACTACCAACATGGACATATTCACGTATGTAAACTCTAAATTTGTTTATGTTGAAAAGCATATAAATCAACAGCTTACAACACTGTACCATGATGTCCTAATGCAACGATGTCTCCTACAACAACAAATATTGGAAAACGCCTTAGTCTTAGCCGTGGTGGCTCCCGACGAATTCGCAAAGACTATCATGGACCATGCCGGATACATGGCTGTCGCCGCTGGAGAGGTCATTCACATCATCAAATGCATACCGGTGGAAGTAAAAATACGTCACACGACAACTTGTTACCAACAACTGCCTGTGTTCAGAGGAAACAGCAGCTATTTTGTGACTCCGAGAACGCATATGCTATTATCAACAGGAACAGAGATTGATTGTAACGACATTGTCCCACCTATGTATTTAATTAATGACATTTGGTATAAATTCTCTCCACAGCCCAATAGAGCTATGGAACCAATTTATTTGAAACCAGATTCTGAACCTACTTGGGAGTACACTAGCATAGATCTTGCAACCAGCGGAATCTATACAGAACAGGACTTGGAGAAATTACGGGACCATATCATGTTTCCAGCCGAAAAACCAGCTGTTCTGAGCAACGTAGCTCGAGGGTTCACCGGACATGGAACAAGGACGCAAGGAATGTCTATATCGCATTTCCTGAATGAAGAAGTGATCGAGACAATAGCCAGAGACACTTGGGAAAAAACTTGGGGATGGTTTACTGGTTTTGGAACCTTAAGTGCGGGATTCATTGGAATTTGGGTTTTTGTTAAATTTGCAAAATTTATTCTAGACACAATATTGCACGGACTAGCTTTACATACAGTGTATGGCTGGAGCCTATGCTTAATAGGATCATTCTGGGATTCCTTGACCAACTTCTTGCTGCATCTTGGACGAAACAAAGAGGCGAGAGATAAAGATGCAAGTCAACAAACACCTACAGCGCCACAGTCAGACTTGGAAAAAGGAATTTCCACCAACGCAGATCAACTATTACAACAACCTCAACAGAAGAAGACCATCTATCCGCAACTGAAAGCAGTATCACCAGACCAACTCAAGGATCAGCCAGGACCGATTTACTACGTACACGTTGATGAAAACTAAGCAAACCGCTCAGTCTCCATGCTTCAAGGGGGGAGGTGTTACGTCTCAGCCCTCCAATATACGATACTAGTTAACCCATACATATACACAGCCACTTATACCCATGGCCAACCATATTAGTATTGTTATACCCTAACCTATACAGACATTATACACACACATATGTCGATTAACCGTTTGATATAATTAATTTTATTGATTTATACTTATAAGTTTATACTTTTGTCTTGTTTTATATTCCGTTATATTATTGGAATCTTTAATTACGTTATCACTTATTCGACCGGAAAGATGTTACGCTTATTATTTCTATCAGGTATTATGTTCTTAAGGAATTTGTCATACCAATCCTTTATTATGTCTTGAAATAAAAGATAAACCTGAAGCTCCTCGAGACTAGCAGTACTCGCGAGGTTTCAGGTACAGAATTGGAAGACTCAGGTATGCAACAACAGACAGATAATTGTTAGTACTCTGATTTGTTAAATGATCATTGAGAAAGGGAATTAAAAACCAATCAGATTCATGAGAAGTAATAGAAGGGATAAGAATCAAAGTCATTAAAAGGGGTTGGAGAGCCTAAAAAGGAGAGTTTCAGTTCCAGTTGGAGTTCTAGCTCCTGTTCAGCGGTAGAAGTGTGAAGTTGTGAAGTACATCAAGAAGTCTTGTAAAAGAAGTGCAAAGTAAAAGTCAAAGTTAGAGTCGAAGTCTAGAGTTCTAGGAACTTATATTCTCTTCAATTCAGTTCTTCGAAATTCATACAGAAGTGGAAGGGATAAGAATCAAAGTCATTAAAAGGGGTTGAAGAGCCCAAAAAGTCAGAGTTGGAGTGCCAGTCAGAGTTCCAGTTCCAGTTGGAGTTCTAGCTCCTGTTCAGCGGTAGAAGTGTGAAGTTGTGAAGTACATCAGAAGTCTTGTAAAAGAAGTGCAAAGTCAAAGTTAGAGTCGAAGTTTAGAGTTCTAAGAACTTATATTCTCTTTAATTCAATTCTTCGAAGTTATCCAAAAGTAAAGCATACCTGGTGACTCTAATCTGCGAATTTCGTGAACCATCATCATCACTATCATTTACAAAACCCTGACTACAATCTCATCTGGACTGAGGGTCCATCCAAACCACCTCATTGAATCTTCATACTTCCAAGGAAAGCAATAAAAGGAAACTGTTGAGTTCCCTGGAAATCATTGGGTAAGCCTATGAGTACACTCACATACAATCAGGTACACACAATAATTCATTCATACCCAGAATATCTAACTTACATAAAACGAATAAGAATACCCGAGCAAAGAATCAAACAATTCGTTCAGTTAAAATTCGTTCTAGTTTCGTTAATCAGGATATCATATCAGACTCAAAGAACAATCATCCTCGTATCGACCAAGGTATCCTCTGGAATCTAATTCCTATTCCTACCAAATCTTATCTGCTGAAACAATTGACATAACGCGTGGACGTACCGTTTAGCACCGGCAAGTCTGACCAACGAACCATCCTAACTACCTTTTTCTAAATCAGCATTCACGAAATCTCTTGAATACTGAACGTAAGAACTTAACCATATTCTGCGTATTTGGAGAGCGATCGTAACAATATATATATATATATATATATTGTTACGTCCGCGTGGGAAATCGGATCCTACGTACGTGGCCTATGTCTAGCCATGGGAAGACTAAACAGTGGGGTCTGGTTTTTATCACATAGCGACCCTAGGATATGGGTATCTAAGATATGGGTTCTAGGTCTACGGACAATGAATCGAGCCTAACGGGAAATGTTTATAGAAAACGTATTTAGTCTATGGATTGACCGTTATTGGCGTTATTTATACGATGCATATGCGGACGCTCCCAACTTTATGACTCCATGACCCTTCCTGGAAAATCCCACTAAAAACTCCTCATTCATTTACAAAGAAGTCTTCCTCATCGAATCCTGATCCAGCAATTCTTTGACCCTTATGGAGAGTACCCCCGTCAAAATTCCCAGCACCAATGAATTAATTTCTTTAACCACTTCATGCTCTTTTTCTTTAAAATGTCTCTAGCTGAACCAATAGTAATAATCCCTAACCCTGCAACCGGCATCGAAAACATACAAGTCATGATTTCAGTTTCGTTACAATGTTAAAACCAGTGTTGATACCTGATAGGATCACAACTGAATAAAGTCACATAGATGTTAAGACATTAGTATATAAGATTACAAGATACTATATCCTGAGATGCCTGACGACCAATCAAAGGGCGAGTGTGAGCCACGAACGGGACATGGTGTAAAAAAATGGTATCATATGTTTGTTTACTATTCCGAGAGTATGTTCATATTGAAAAGTCGATAATTATTTAGTTAAAAAAAAACTACACACTATACTTAAAAGAGACAATTGTATAATAAACGTAGTGTCAAAGCATAGGTAGAAACGTTTGAAAATAATGAAAACTAGAATTCCCATTGAGCCATTATTATAAAGACCATGATAAATAATTAAATTGGTCAATTATTGATTAAAAGGGATGATTAGTTGATAAACTAGCCAAAGATGGTTAAAATTAAGGAAACATAGAGGAATTGTAAGGATAGAAACAATAATCCAATGAACCTAAAGGCAAAGCGATAGATAAAGTGTAAAAACCATACAGTTGTCAAAAGCAAAGGATTTTTCATGGGGAAATATTGACCAGGAATAATGCAAACGTGTTAGAAGCATGATGGATTCAAAAACAGTAGTATTTGGCATAATTCTTATGAGGTTCAATGTGAAAAGTTATAAATAAATATGAAAAAACAACTATCGTAATACTGACTATGGCGATTATTAATACAGATGGTAGTATTTGAAGTCAGATGAACATCTAAATGAGTAGGAATGGATTAGACATAAATAAGTAAGAATCGAATGGTAAAATTAGAAATAATGTAAAAGTTTAGTATTGCAAACAGACAGCATACCATAGTGATAATACAATAGTATCTGGATGCTAAACTTGCTCAGTAAGACAACAATTTCGCATTAAATCCCTGGGAGAATAGGTTGTCAATGGAATATTATAAATAATTTGAGAATTTCCTATTATGAATAGATAGCATACCTTGGTCGTGATGACACAGTGTCTTAGTGTTAACCTTTGTCGAATGAATAGAAATATCGATAAAATATATAAAATATATAATAAAAATCCCTCGAAGGATATATCGCTAATGGAAATTTTATAAATAATTTGAGAATTGCTTATTATGAATAGATAGCATACCTGGTTCGTGATGACACAGTGTCTTAGTATTAACCTTTGTCGAATGAATAGAAATATCGATAAAATTCCCTCGACGGATATATCGCTAATGGAAAATTTATAAACAACTCGAGAATTTGTTATTACAAAGAAATAGCATGCATTGGGCGCGATGACGTAATGTCTTAACACTAACCTTTGTCGAATAAATGGGGATATCAACAAAAATCCTTCGGAGGATACATGATTACTGGAAAAACATAAATAATTCAAGAATTTGTTATTACCAACATGCAGTATACATTGGTTGTAAGGAAGTAGGGTGTTGACGTTAGTCTTTATTAAACAAATAGGAATTCCAATAAAAATCCCTTGTAAAGTACGTCGTCAATAGAAACGATTGATAACATTGATAAATTCATATAAATGTCTCAAAACAAGTGCATATAGTGTGTGGTACGTTATAATTATGGGTTTATTGATAAATTACATATAGATGTGTTGAAATCTCGAAGATATAAAATTTGGGAAATTTGAAGAAAGTCCTAAGTGCATCTCAGTTGTTGCTATGCGGGAAAGAGAAGGAAAGTTCTAAGCGCGACCGCAAGTTCTGAGAAAATGACGTAACAGAAAGTGGCGTGATCTTCAATTACGGCTAAATTATAATAGGTACGATACCTAAAATATAATCAAGTTATCGTTTATAATTTTGCAACATTGCCGGCAGTATTTCGGATGCTGACGAATGTTAAGAACAAATGGTTCAATAGTCGATAAGTTTATTTTATAGACAAAATGTGCCATAGACATGCGCCGTTAATGAAAATACGTGTAGGTAACCGTATTTTTAGTTATATTTATATATGCATCGCGACAATGCCGAATATTTATTACAAGTAGTAGTTGAATAGTGAAAGTTGCAAAGTACAGAAATAGCGGTTAACAATTGAATATTACAACAAATTATTGTTAATTAGCTAGTTTAGATGTAAGAGAATTACTTGGTTAAGTATATTGTTTAGTAACGTATAAATTAACGAAGTTTTCTTTGATTAACAATTTTCGCCGCGCTGATTGGCTAGCAAACACTTGGAGGGGATACACTCAGTGTCCGAAATCAGCTGAGCGCTCATTGGCTGCGCCGAAAGTTCTCGCCGAGTCTACTTGAGGGGAATGCGCCATACATCGAGGTTCCAGTCCGTGTACGAGAGTCAGAGTACGTACGTCGCGAATATTAGAGAGCGCGGATTACTTTTGTAAGGGCGTAACTACTTAACCGTAGAGCGTCCGTAGTTGCTAACTAGTTTCACTACTGTCATAGTTCCGATTTAAATATCGCTGTCGCGTTGTAAATTTTAGGGAAGTGAAATAAATATTTGATTTGAATTTTTTTTTCAAAAATAACAATCTTTTATTTAAACTTCGTCCATTCTTTTACCTCGTGGTCAGAATCAGACACCAAGAGAACTTAGCAGCCGGAAGTTGGAAACCCTTTCCTGGTTTTTGGACAAAATCAGGTGGCGACCGAAATTATCGGTGCATCATTCTTCGGTTCGAGGGAAAAAGGCATACAGATCAAGGACCGCCCTCCGTGGGATAGCTGGATCCAGGATAGCACGGGATTCTCTAAGGGGAGAATATTTCTACCAAGGCTACCAATCCGGTCACAGAGGTAAAAGAATGGCGACCGTAACAGGACGCGGAGTTTTTTTGAAGTAGCTATCTCCGCGGTAAAAAAGAGAAAAAGTTACTTGAGTTTCTCAATTCTCGGGAAAAAATTGATAACCGTCGCGGTGAAAGTGTCGACCCGGTGGAAATAAAAAAGTTTCTCAATTCTTTTGAAAAATTGATATCCGTCGCGTTAAAAGTGTCAACCCGATGGATACAACGAGTTTCTCAATTCTTGTACAAAATTGATAAATCTTCGTGGTGCAAGTGCTTGTCCGGGTGGATACAACGAGTTTCTCAATTCTTGTAAAAAATTGATAATCTTCGTGGTGCAAGTGTGTGACCAGTGAAGTTAATTTGAGTTTCTCAATTCTTGTAAAAAATTGATAAACGTCGTGTGCGTGCCAAAGTGTCGTCGCGGCAACGTAAAGTTTTTCGAACACTTTTCAAAATCGAAAGAAAGTTACGGACCTTTTCAAAAAACGTATTCCCGACCGTGGGAGGAATCAAATCCGGAAGTGCGAAAAAATTTAAGTTCTCGATCTTAGTGAAAAATCGGAAATTAAAGTCACGCGGAGAAAGTTTTTGAAGTGTGCGCTAAAAGTAGATATCGTGTCTAAAAAAAACGAGTGCCGTCGAACAAGTGTTCGACAAGCAACAAATCCTTCGGGTTAAATTATTCAAAAGAATATCGAATATACTTCGATCTTGTGGAAAATT